TTTACTTGAACTTCTGAGGTAAAATCTTTAATTGCTGGTTTAAAAGCTGGTTTAACCCATCTGAGAAATTGAGAGGCGTCCAAAATCAGATGATATCAGACTGAATAAAGCTCTTTTACGAACTTGAACTTGACGTGCGATGCCATGCTGACTGACATGTATGTGCATGAATCACTGTCACACGCACAAGCTCAGAGCAAAACTGTAAGTAACTGTCTGCATGATAATACATTTTTAACTAGCAGAATAATAATGCATCACGACGATACACATAGTTGACTGCTTGTATGTTGTGAGAAATGTGTGTGATCTGTGTTATGTACTGTTGAATAGCCTACATGCTCTTAACTAATTGCCCCTTTTGGGATTAATAAAGTTGATAAAAAAAAAGTAAAGTAAATAGTCTCACTTTTAGTTACGTCTTTTAACTATTATAATATTTCGAAAGGCAAAAAAATGAACTTTAAAACCCCTTAAGTGTCACGGGCCCACCGGTGGGCCCAAATCCTTTACATTTTTAAAACAGTAATATCCTATACTAAACCTAAACTAATCTTGACAAACTATATATCATTTGAAAGCTTACAATCTCTAGTTTCCATATTTGGTGATTGATTTTCAAAATAAATTACAGAGGAGCCGTAATTTATCAATTTGCAACAATAATATTTTCATACTCTTAGACCTTTATTTTGAAATAGTGATGAACATGAAAAATCATGAAAGAAGGGTAGAACCCTCAGTTTGTTTTCATGCCAAGAGTGCAAAAGATAGCATCCATTCAATTATTTTAAAAAAAAAGGTCTGAATTTTTTTTTTATATATATAAAGAAAAAAATTATATGATGTGGCAGGAAGCTAAAACGCACATGTGTGTTCTTTTTATGTTTCTTAGAGGTTGAAATCATATCAAAATCTGCCAAACTTCTCATATTACTTCTGAATAGGATGTCTACTTCATAAATTGTATGAAAATTGTGGAAATAATGGTTCATATCACTCAAAACACATATGGAAATGGAGGCGCCCTTATATGGGCAGTAATGGAGTCTGGTTGTCATCTAGTGAAAAAGTTTGGTACTGCGCCCAAACAAAATCTTACTGAAAGCTCATTTTTTGAGATATCAACCTAAAATTTGAAACACAACTTGTTCAGATTTTTGGCTTTGATTTTTTTGCAGTTTTAGAGTCGCCCAGGTTTTGAAAATATGTATTTTATATAAAATATGAATAATTAAATTTTTTACATTGTACATTTTCATAAACTCAAACTTCTATAACTTTTTTTCTGTTTCACTTTCTTAATTTATTTCACTTCTACAAAAATCTGCCAAATGTCTTCTTTAAAACAAGACCAATCTTACGTCTATATTCCAAAGCATTCTTGAATTACAACCATTTAAGTTCTAAATGTGCATTTTCATGTATATTCAAAAAAAGGGGGGTGACACTTATTGGCTTTAATTCTTCAATCAGCTGTCACTTTAGCGCGAGGCCAGTAGCATATAGCATTAGCACCTCTGCTCCACCCACGACCCACCTCTTTGCCCATTTTCTGTTATCCGGTAGTGACAAGAGGTGACGCGCTGCCAAGATGGCGACGGCCGGCCCCGCCCACTTTAGGCTTCAAAAACACTCTTCAGAAACCTACGGGTGACGTCACGGATACTATGTCCATATTTTTTTACAGTCTATGGGTATAACTAGTCGATCACGAGTGGCTCAACAGGTAGATCTATAGATAAACTATATCTTTTAGGAATTTGACCGACCGGGTTGACACTTCAGCGTGAGAAATCGGTTATATATAATTTATTTATTACAGAACTGCTTTTGAAATTACGATTGGTAGCCTATTATTATACAGATGCAAAGTCGTTCTGTTGGGTACTATTTTGTGTGTAAAATGGAAATGCATGATAATTGTATTTTATATATATAAGCAAAAAAACTGTATGGTGTAACAGAGTTTTAGAGCTAGACAAATCTAAATAAATATAAAACTTACAACAGACCAGGCTTGTGCGGGATTTGAACCCGTGTCATCTTGATGATTAACCGTAAGTTCTACCGTTCGGCTATGAATTTTCTCACTAAGAAATACCCGAACGTCTGTTTCTCACATGAGCGAGAAAACGTTTTGTCTTTAGCCTGTGAGTGTAGGCCTATACTTTAGCCTTTTACAGTTTTAAAAGATTATATCTTATCTGTATGAGCAACCAGGGTTCGAATTACAAAGTGGCTTTCGGGGGAGCCCTATTTTCCGATCCTCCCGGACCCTGACTGACTTTAACGCTTTTGGTGCATGTTCGGGCATTTAAAACAATAGCTTTACAGTAAACCTATTGTTTACTTAGTAAACCGTTTACTTCAAAACGAAAGCGTCAGTCAGTGTTGTCAGTGTTAGGGCAAACAGCTCTGTCCACGGCTCTGAATCAACCGCGCTTAGGCCTACATCATGCAAATCATGATAAAAACAGAATAACTCACATAGCAAGCGGTGGTTTCTGGCGCCCAAGTCTCGCTATCCTCGGTGCTGTCACTAGCAGCAACTTTTAGCGGCGGTAACACCGGCAAGCTAGTTGTAGCTGGTGTGCTGTCATCACTCCTCTTTGTTTGTTTTGTAAATCCAAATTGACTGAGGTTTGGCTGCTTTCTTTTTGACATTCTTATTAGTATCCACAGAGTGTTCCAAAAAACTAATTAGTATGTTTTGAACTTGAAGCTAAGCTAACATTCAAATACCAACTCAGTGAGAAGTTCAAGTGGTGACGTAAACGTAGTAATTTCAGTGCAGCGCCGCCACGCATGGATGGTCACAGCAGGAGACACAGCATTGCATTTATTAGTGGAGACAGATGTTCGGAAATAGTAATGTAATGAGCGAATAAACACGGACACATTTTTAATATCATCATTTATTTCAGGAACCTTAATGTACAGAAAATCAAAATCTATATGCGACACAAAAAATGGACAGTGTTTTAGAGCTCCCCCTAAATGTCTCAAAGTAGGCTTTCAGGGGAGCCCAGGTCCTTTTCAGGGGAGCCGAGCTCCCCTTAGCTCCCCCGTAATTCGAACACTGTGAGCAACAATTATGGAGTAGGCTATACATGTTTGTTGTAGGCTTATTTGGAAATTACCATAACTTGTAGTATTTCATCCTTAGGCTACAGACATTAGCCCCACTTACGTTTTGCTAAATGTCCCTTTGCGCCACCTGGCGGTCATTTCGCGAACGACTTTGAAATGCGACTGGTTTATTTTTACCGTGGTGGATGGCTAAAAATGGTATGTGGATGGCTAAAAGGTGACTAATAATGTGCTTTTGGCTTTCATTTATATTTTGATTGTTTTTATATATATATATGTGTTTGTGTGTGTATAAATATTTATTTATTTATATATATATATATTGTCCTTGCATTCTTTCTTGTGTGACACCCCTGAATGAAAGGCTCATTAGTATGCAGTCTGCTCAGGTGAGAACTGCCTAATTATTCATGAGGGGGTTGGGTCGTTCACGCCCATCCGCATATTGCCTTTGCAAACAAAAAATGTTTTTCACAATTTAAAACAATCTATTGTTTTATGTGAATGATTAGGCAGAATGATTTTCAGATCAATTTGAAGCAAAAACTCTAGGCAACAACATCCACTTGTCAAAAGTCTTGTGGACAGATATTTAGTATGTTATTTGTGGCCTTATATTAGAAACTTTATTTTTTATTTTTTTCAATAACCACGCATAAACAATATTCTCTCAAAAATACAAACATGTACATACATGTTGCTCACATATTATGGTAGCCCTGTGTGTGCTATATAGAGTGTAATTTCACCTGTGCCATTAATATGTTTATAAGCAACTGAAAAAAGCAGAAATGTCAGAGCATGCCAAAACATCTCAAGGACCCCGAAAACACCTCAGACCCCAGAGGGTTAAACCCACCAATAGATTGCCAGGTGGATAAGCCAGTTGGTAATTGGTCCCCGCAAAATTGTAACAGAAGCAGGATAGAACAATATACAGGTCTGATCTGCAGGGCAAAATCAAATCGTCGGCAGATCGTGCTGGGTTTACTCAGTCTACAGGTTCTCCCTTCTTTGAGGACCTTCATAGTGAGTTAACTCACTCATGAGAGAAACCTTACACAGGTTGTACGATGTTGCCTCAGGTAGAAGTGTCTGGAGCATTATTAAAGAAACCAACTCTCCACACTTAAGCCGTTCAGAACAACCTCCACGCTGGTGAGGAAAGACTTTCAGGGAGCAGCTCAGGCTGCAAGATATAGCGGAGTAACAGTTGTACCAGCCTGACCTGTTGAAAGCGAGTGGTTCAATCGACAAAGAGTCGTTCTCTGAGCTTCGTTGAGCCACAGATTTGTCTCTTCATAAAACTAAAGCGACGTTCAATGGTGGTCTGGTCGTCACAGAGAGAGACCTCTGTGGTTGAACCTAACAGGCATCAAAGACAGGACGTTTCTGCTCGATGCCCGGGCTGTTTGGCGACTCGGTTAACACAGTTGCCATCAGATTAAGGCAGGTTAAGAGAGACATTTGTCCAGTTCCTTCCTCGCCGCACTCAAGGGAAGGGGCTGTCGACCACCCAGTCCAAACCCAGTCCTGCTCAGAGACGTGAGGCGCAGAAGCAGAGTGTGGCGAGTCGCGCTCCCCCTCGCTAAGATTGGGGACCGGCTCGTCACTCTCAGCAGCCTCATAAAAAACCCGATGCACAATGTGTAACAGAAGAATTAATGGAAGGGCCTTAATAAAACTGGAAGCTTCACATTTATTTTTTTAAATCCTCCAAAAATCCCATTGACATAACCTTAAGTTTTGCTTTTTTTTTTATTATATAGGCTATATATATATATATATATATATATACATACATACAATCAGTGTCACAAATGCTGTTGATTTAATTTAATTCCTAGTGAAAATGTTTTCAATAAAACATGAATATGTGAACGTTTGGACAAATTACCTCTACTCACCATAGACTGAAACACTGAATGTTTTTGATGATTTTTTCGCTCCAGTTATCTCTAGTTTATAAACTCCAGCATGTTCAGTTCTGATGTGTGTGATGGTCAGAGATCCAGTTTGATCGTCCAGCTTCAGTCTGTCTCTGAATCTCTCATCAGGAACATCATCATATGTGGAGAAGATTTGCTTCTTTTTATTCATTTTAGCTATGAGAGACTTTTCAGCTCCAAATGTCCACATTATGTCTTTGTCTTTATGTATTTCAGTAACATCAGTGTTTAGAGTAACAGAATCTCCCTCCATCACTGACACTGAATCACCCAACACACCTGATGGACAAACAGATTTTACACAGATTAATTGTTCTGATGGTTAACAAATCAGCCTGAAATCAGCTGAAGTTTTGTGAAATTGTGAAATGAAAAACATTCAGAGCAACAGCAGAAACAAATGAAAGGGGAGATATATGAACATAATATTAATTAAAACCTTGACATTCTTAAATATTTAGATGAGTAGGTTTTTTTTTTCTGACTAATGAATATATTACTTTTGTAGTTGTTCAGGGAAAATTAAGAGACCGGTAATTAAAACCCACAAAAATGGTGAAGATTTTTTTGGGAAAGCATACAATATTTAAAAATTACTCTTAAAAATGTTTCTTTATGCATTTGTTTAGCCTGCCTTGTCGTGTGTACCCTCACAGTTCTCCCTCTCATGCTCAGCACTTTTTATCAATCTTTACGGATTGCTTCCGCTTTACATTCATAACTCTCATTTAAACAGGCTTCCGATCACCTCATGTCCGATCGCTTCTGAGGACGGCCACTGACTATCACATGGAGTGATTTAGCTTGAGTTTCTAGTCAAAGCACCATTGATACATTGATACACTGTCAGGAAAAACCTACAAATATCGGGGAATTTTAAAATGGTCCCAGGCCCCGTCCCAAGTCATGCAAGCTGGGCCTCAGATTTGAAAGTAGCACAATGGAGAAAAGTCTCCACTGGATGAATCTGCATTCATCATAGCAATTTACATTATTTTCCATGACTTTTAACATCTGTGAAGAATGTTACTGATATTAAGCCAAAAAAAAAAAGATAACTTACCAGTTAGACGCCACCAGTACAAACAGAACAAAGTAAACACCTGAATCATTTTCTTCAATTGTTCACTAAAAAGTCTGATAAAAAAGTTAATCTCTGCCGTCTCACATTGAGACTCTAGCAGCTCATCTTCTGAGTCAAACTGAAACCTGCTGTGGTTGGTTTTCTTCCGAGATGAAGAGTGGGTATACAGTGCACGTGTGTTTATTTTCTAGGTGAAAGAGCTTCTTCCTGTCCTGCTTAATGACTCTCACGGTTAATGCCTGCACAATGAATCTCACAGTTAATGCCTTCACAAAACAGCTTTTTATGATCAACCTTGGTTTATCATGGTTGACCAAGTTAAAATCAACCTTGGTTGGCCAAAGTGCTGAATCCATCAAAAACAGTCCAATCAGTGTCAGAGGTTAAACTAGACTCTTACTAATCACGCATCTTTGCTAACATACACATATTGACAGCTCAACAAAACACTAAACAATACACCAGACCATTTTTGTGAGCTGTAAGCAGTGAATGAAAGAGAGAGAGACAGTAGCTGTATTTACATGGGCCATTATAATCTGATTGTAATTGGACTAGTAGCACAGACAGCTAAAAAATCTGATATTCAAACTGATATTCAAAAAGAAAAGCAAGCACTGCTTTGTTTAAGGTTTGAATATCTGCAGTTTCAGTTTCCCTTTCTGAGTGGGGAATATAGACTATTGATACCTGCTGATATAGACAGATATTTACTTGCACGCAGGCGCAGAATCAATCAATCAATTTGTCCCCGTAGGGAGATTTGTTTGCAGGACTATCAAGTAGGCATTACATCATACCTCATACACCACACAAAGAACCTTCAAACATACTGGTAAACACACACTAATACACAACACATAATTCCCCATACCCCACACCTTACTACCGATTAAATTAGGCATACCAGACCAGCTGAGCATCCTGCCTATTTAGCTCGTGCTGGTTGACACTCGCCTTTAAGGCCCTGATATACTTCAAAAGAAATCGAAGAACAAACTGACGTGATGTCATTTAGAACAAAATCAGGCCGAAAAGAACTTCGTTTGGAGGTCGTTTTTGGGAGTTTGAAACAGCTTGTCAGAGTAAACTTCCTGGAAACCTGGTAAACACCTGGTCGGTGGTGATTATGTAATAGGTAGGCTAGGTGTGCCCTGAGGCTCCGTCCTCTTTCACGTTGAAATCTTTACCGGTTGATTTCCTCGGTTGGAGGCCGTCGAGGGCAGACTACAAGCACTGTAAAAGGTTTTGCCACAAACTCAACTGACTGGCTTCTCTCTTGTATGATTTGACACGAGTCTCTTCAGACCTTACTGTACATTAATTTTGAGCTTCCAGAATTTCTGATTGAGGCTGTGTGTGACCTAATTTAACTCATTTACACACATTGGGTCTCATTCATGAAACACGAGCAGAACGAATTTTTGTGTAAATCCTGTGTAAAGTGGTTTTGGCGTAAATTTTCGGATTCATTAAAATGTTCGTATTTTCCAAATGTAAGTTGGTACACAAGAAATCTACACCTGCTCCCAGCCACGCATAAATAGTGCGCTTAACACCCGAACGTTTTGCTCATTAATAAGGCTGCATTTTAATTCACCTTAATCGGGTACATATATTTGCACAGCATTTTGAAAAAAAATATTATATATAGTAATTGCATACGGTTTTTCTTATTATGAGAGCCAGTAATAGCATCTGCGATGGTGGTCCTTCTCCAGTTTGAATACTATTTTTCCGAAGTGAACTAATTTGTTTTTTGCTCTCAAGCTTAATGTCGAACCATTTTCTGGAAATGTTCGATTAACAGATGAAACTCCATTAACTGCATCTGTAATATGCTGCCAAGCTTCCTTTTTTTTTTAGGACCCGATACGCCACTATATACGCATACAAATAAAATGTGGCGTTTTGAATGAACTTCTGATAATAAAACTTCAATTTCTGCATCTGAGAATTTTTTTTTTTTCATTTGCATTCATGTCATAATATGATGCCCATATATAGTTGTCAGTCGGATTTAATGGGCGGGATTTATGGTAATTGAGAATGAACGTGCACGCGCATCCCATTTACGACTGATTGGAATTCATTAACACACACACACACACATTTCACTATCACATCTGACGTTTACGAAGTATTGTGTGAATCAGGAGAAGAAGTGAATCAGGAGAAGAGTTTTCGGGAAGGTCTCCTTACGAGCAAATCACTCGCATATTTACTCGTATATTTACGAATGTTTCATGAATGAGACCCAATGAACATTTAAATAAAAACAGTATAATAACAAAAAATAAATAACAGTTTTTTCTTTGTCTTATTAAGAACAAACAATAAGTGCAAGTGCAACCATAATCGAAGTACTCCTAATTTTGCCTAAGCCTAATTTGCGCGCATCAGGAAGCTCAGATTTTACTTTCATTTTCGGATTCGCGATCGCACGAACTCCGTGTTCAGGGAGCGGCTGTCATGATCCGGCCGTCTTGTCCTTGATTTCTTCTAGTCTTGAGGCTGGATCATGACAGACCCGTGTTTTGTGTACAAGCGCATGGCCACTTGCTTGGGCCATGTGCTTGTGTTGTCTCCGTTATGTTACCCCGCCCCCTTGTTATCCTCGTCTCGTCATTATTGTCTAGTCAGTTTCACCTGTCCTTGTCTAGTCAGCTTCACCTGTCCTCGTCGAAAACCTGTTCAATTAGAATTGTGAATTTGCTTCTTGTCAAGTCCGAGTCTTTGTTTGTCATCGTGTCTTAGTCTAGTTGTACTCTGCTCCAGTCCTGTTTTGCCCCCTCGTGGGTTTTTGTTTTCTGTTTGTGTCAGAATAAACGTTTAGTGTCTGCAAATTGTCTGCGTTTGGGTTCGTTCCTCAACCTCATGACAGCGGCGGTGCTGAGCACACGTTCTACAAGATAAGACATTTATCAGACGCTTAGACTGTTGCGCAAACAAATCCTCCGCCATCGTCACGCGATCGGTTAACTGTGATTCCTGCTGGATGAGCAGAGCAGACGTTTACAATACAATGGTTTTTATTTTTATAAAAACAGCAAAACAACAGTGGATGCGAAGACGCGGTGGGCACCGTAATGTAATGTGAATTTCACCCTCATGCTCCGTCATGGCGATATCATGAGGCAGCATTTCACTCGACGAGAAATCTCGTCACATTTTAGTCTGGCGAGATCTCGTCACACCCCTACAACTTACACATTTCTTCTTCTAAATCAGTTGTGCCACTGTTCACTAAAGAACCGCTTTCTGTTTTAGATCCTGTCTTACTGTTCTTCCTCTTGCAGTTGGCATCTCAGATACTACTGATGAAACAGACATAGTAAGTCAACAGGATTCATTTACAAGGTGTATCAGATTTCTGTGGAGAGTACCATATTTTTCTGGACTGACTCAGTTTAGTTGACTTAACACACACTTCACCTCCTCCAACTCAAACATTGCAAACATCGCTTTTACAGGTGCTTGTGAAAGGCTTGTCTAAACAGATAAAAGTAGGCACCACAACTGTTTGAGTCTGTCACTAGACACGTCAAAGTAAACACAATGAACTGGTTCATTTGTCTTTCTGAATGGTATAAATGATGATGTTTGTGTCCATTATTGCACATTTCATCATAATGCTGCATTCACTTTAAGATGTTCATGACCCGTTTAATCTTTGAAGCTCTAAATGCAGCTAATTTTGTCTTGCACGTCTGTAACCACAGTGGCTGACACCGTCTTGCTCCGCCTGTTAAAGTAGGATACACACACCACAAAATCATGCTATCGGTTGACAGATCTGTGCTATCCGCTCTCAGTGTTTTGATGGTGCCAGGGAGGCTCAATGTTTACACTTTTCAGGGAGATAAACCCGAGTAAGAGAACGTATGTTAACATAAATAAAATCGTCCCCTTTAAGAAATAGGAAGGTAAAGGTACTGAATTTAGCCTGCACTGCTGATACTAGTAATTTTTAATCTTTATTATGATTTACTATCCTGACATTTTTCTGGTCCAACTATTTGGACAACAATTCCGATTGACTGATGATCAGAATATTTTCCCCCGCTTTTCACTAGATTTGCTGTTTTCACTTTCAATTGTATGCTTCTTTCATTCGTGCAGCCTGTTATCAGAATATATTTTTGTAGCCTGTTATCAGAATATATTTTTGTAGATCTTCTGAGTTCAGCGCAAAAGTATCCAAAGGGACGGAAAATATAATTGAATATGGCTTCTGCGTTCTTGATTGCTATACTACAATCTACTGTCACAATCCTGCCTAGCTTCCACACCCATATTTGCTTT